GAGAAAGTACTGTGGCATTTCCAAGAAAATGTCCATCCCTTGAGCTGCGATGTGTGGAAAGGAGGCCATAGAGTCAAGATGGGGGGTCCTCCCCAGGAGCAGGAGAAGTGGTGCTTAGGTGGTACTTTCTGGCTGGCAGCTGGCTTTGCTAGGGAAGGAATTTGAGGGGGCTCATTTTTATCCCTTTTTTCATCAGGTTGTCCAATACCCCTCTTGAGGCATACCTGGATTGGCAGGACATCTCCTTTTCATCAGGAGAACGTACAGAACCAAAGGGCTTTGTTACTCAGTTACTTCCAGTTCATCGGTTCCAGTTTACAGCAAGTTAGGGTCTGTCTGCCAACTGGGATGTGTGTGAAGAAGCTGAAGAATTATTAACATACATAGCTGTATTGGTTTAGAAATTGAACCTTCATAGAATTGTATGCAAAGCTGATAGTCTCTTGTGATCATTGCCTAGCTCCTCATCATTACTATCTTTACTTATAATTTTTCCAAATAGTGACGAGTAGAGCTATAATGGGATTTTGCTTGAGGTTGAATATGTTTGGAAAAATCCAGACAAAATGCTTAGGATATTTTCTAGACTGATGCCACCATTTTTTCATATTTAAAAAAAAAAAAAAAATTATTTTCTTTCTTTTCTGGGAGAAAAGGAGTCTGATTTCCAGAACTGCTAAGTATTAAGATCTGAAATGAAAGTGAATGGGAGCTGTGCTTTCAGTACTTTACATAACTATAGAATACCAAGTGCTCTAAATACATTGTGCTTAGGCATCTCAGAATGGATACCTTGAATTATTAAACACCTTTTTAGGATTCCCCATTAAAATAGGGGTAATAAATTATTACCTTCTCACCTCACCAGGGAAGCATAAAGACAAATAAATGTTTTGGTGCTAATACTGTAATATTAGTGCTAATGCATTAATATAATGTAATACACTAATGTACATATATTAAATGTTTATTTACATTATAAATAAAAGTGTTACTATAATACCTCAAATACCATGAGGATGAACACTATAAGAAAACTCATGAGGAAATGAATAGAAGTTTTCAGAGTTTGATTCATGTGCAGCAAATACAGCTCAGGGCCACTCCCTAGTATTGACTAGCTTCTCTTCGAATGAGTACCATCTTGTCTGTGTCTTAAGTACAGTACCTCCTAACCTGTCACAATGTTAATAATGTTCTAGTTCTGTTTCTTGTGTACGGTTTCTAGAGTTTGAATAAGTGATGTGCAAAGATAGGTGTTTCAGCATTGGGTATCCTGTGGGTTACGCTCACAAATGAAACCTTTAGATCCCCTGTACAGACCTCTGCCAGTTGTACTGAGAGTAGCTGCTGGGCCAAATGGGGGACTCACTGGACAATTTGCCTTTTCAGGAGGGTGGACGCACAGCAATAGCCTTTGTTAGCTGCTGGGAAAGCCCTGTGAAGCCAGGAAATGGAGAATGCAGAAGGAAGCTGCAGCGTCATGGAATCCATTATGTGGACTATGATTTTCAATGAGCTTTAAACTGGCTAATTTTGGTTGGATTTTATTGGGAATGGTAAATAGCACACCCTTAACTCGACAGCCCATTGTAGTCAGTCCTTGCTTCAAACATAAATGTCCCTGAGCTTTCCAAACAAAAAGCAGGAATATTTTTTAATATGAATACAAAGAACAGCGTTTTCCCCCTGCCTTTTTTAATTTGTCGGAAAAACATACACTATTATGGATGACAAATATTCAAAATTTTGTTGCAAAGCAAACACCCATGATTGAAAATTTCAATTTAACGAAGCAGCTAAGGGCTAGAATTTGGCAAACTGTAAAGAAAAAATTACAAGGTCTTGCAAGCCTAAGTAATAGGCAACCTTAGTAATAGGTGGTGCTTGCCTATAACATTGAACACTGTTTGGAAATAGCATCTGTCTTGCTTCTTCTGGCTCCTCTAGTGGTGTTTGTACAGGAAATGTATTGTTTTACAGCAAACTTTATGAATCGCTTCTGGTTTTGCTGCAACAGACCGAAGGCAGGAACATCATACCCTGAATTCTCTGATCGCTTGGCATGTCTAACCTACATATCAGCCTATTACCTTCTCCTTTTGATATTCCACTGGAATTTAAGAAATGAAGCAGAGATTAATATTAATGAAAAAGTAGAAATTACCATACATTTGTTCTCTGTTTTCATCAGGTGTCAGACACTACAGTAACAGACGCCAATTTAAGAATCTAGACAGATTTAGATAATTTCCTCGATGCTTGATGGCTATAATTAAATTAATTCTGGGAATCTGAACTGACACTTCTGCTATACTGTGAATGTGGCTTCCTAGGTCCTAATTATAGAGGTTTTAATGTTTTCTCTGCCACCTAGAATTGTGTGGGGACCAAAATCATGTTAATTTTGTGGCTGCAGTGCTGGAGAAGGATATGCAGAGCAAAAGGTCTGCCTGTCTCCGAAAGCCACCCGTAATCCTCTCTGTGCTGAACCACATGTAAGTGTCAATAAGCATACTTGGGAGCATGGGGGCAGCATAGCTGGCCAGGCAGGGCAGTAAATTTAAGAAGCCACCACCCTGTGTGGCACCCTGCCTTTGAAAATAGCACACTACTAAATAATGCATGCTGGTGTGCCGGCTAAGTTAGCCTCACCTTGCCCAGACCTGTTGGTACAATGTGCTTTTTTGTCTGTCTGGAAGTATTCTGGGTCTTAGCAACCAGAGCTGTCTCTGCCCTTGGGAGCTGAGACAGAAAAGGATTACAGCCACACAAACAGAAAGTTACACACCAGTCTAAGTACCATATTTGAACTAAATTTCTGCTGCTTTTGCTGGTGTCCTTTCTAGCAGTAGGAAAAGTCTGATTTCCCTTGCTATGTTGAGATCCAGTGGTCACATTGTCCTGTGGTGCTTCTGCAGCATACGGATGAGATGTATTTCAGTGTGACTCTTCAATTTCCCATGTTTAGCTCAGTGGAACGATGTAAGAGGTGGGTTCCTTGTTAAAGATGTCCTTCCTGGGAAGGGAAGTGCTCTTTATTGCTTTCTCATTCTTTGCTTACTTCTTAGCTTTTTCCTGTTCTCCTGCTCTGGATTGATCATTCATGCTGATATGATGATAAAACATTATTTTGGTGATGAAAGCTTTAGCATAAATACTCACCAAGACATGACCTGGTATGCAAATATTTAAACTCAGTGACATGAATGCTTAGAGAAATCTTATGGGTACTAGACCTACTTATGAAAACTCCAAACATTGCCTAGCTGTTTTCAGTGACATCCTTAACCCTTGGTGTTCTAATTACAAGACAATACTGCTCTCCAAGATGGACATTTACAGCCTTCCTTCTTCCTCAAGGACAACTTTATTTGATAGGTGAGAATCAAGGTGAGCAGCCATGGAACTTGACTGTAACCTGGGTGAAAAACGATGGGATCTTCCCAAGCAACACTTGTAAAACTTATCTGTGTGAACAAAAGCAACTCAGGTTTTAATTTAATGGTGTTAGTGTGGATGATAGGAACAAAGGTGACATTCCTTGAGTCTAAGATCCACTATTTATCTTGAAATCAGGTTCAGGTATGAAATAAATAACAGGTATGAAATATTTCCCCTACACTGACAATGAACCTTGATTAATAATTAATAGTATCTTTGGGTCTTTGAAGGACAATTCGTTCCCTGTGCTTGGCAAATCTAGCACTGAGAATTCTTGTCAGCATCTGTCAGGAGGGAGATTTATGATGAGCTCCGGAACCAAAAGTGAATAAAGACTGGAAAATTAACTTCACACAGACCACTGAACAATCACTGTATAAAAATATTCAGCACTTCTTGTGTTTTATGCATACAAATTAATGAAACCTTCCTACATTACCACATTTTTAGCTGTTTTCATGTTCGATGCCTTTTCTGACTAGTGAAATAACGAGAGACAGATGAGGGTTCATATTTCATTTAGGCACCTCGTTTCCTGCTCAGGTTCATGGTTGCAAGCTAGAGAGGTACCTCACACATGGTCAAGGAAAACTTTGGACTCAGAACTCTTAGACCTCTCCTGCAAGCACAGATCTTCCATGAGGAAACAGCGTTTCCTTGCTTTTCACCCCAGTTGACAGCTGAACTGATGACTGAATTAGTGAAAGGCCTCTAATGCAATGCCCAGGCCATAGCTCAGAGAAACAAGCAAAAATATTTTGCCTGACTTCCATGGGCTGTGGAGCAGGTGCTTTAAGGAAAGTTTTAGCTCTCCCTTGCTGATCTTATAGAATTAGAAAGGTTAAAAGCAGAAAAATGTAAAATTGAGCACTCATCTGCTGATTTTCTGCCCTGCTAACCTGCATGTAGCTGAGCTTTCATACTCAACCCCATATACACATACAGTGACAATTTTTTTTCCTCATTTTTACTTTCTCTCAGATGCCCAGAGAAGCTGGAAGACCAAGAGACTCCCCTTTCTGCAGACTCATGCATTTCACAGGATGCTCAAGGTATGAAAAGAAAGAATTGCACCCATGATATTGGCTCACCCAATCCACCTCCCTGCCAGAACAGGGTTATTCCATACCGTACATCTCCTAATGTTATTTCCAGACTAATTTTAATTTTTGCTTTTCACTTCTCCTCATTCTAATTATAATCTCCCTATCTACCTGAAATAACCTCCATTAAAAAAAAAAAGGGATGGTCTTAAAAAAACAACTACAAAGAAATCAATCCCTCATCCATTACCAAGTTTTTCTTTTGTTCTGGAGCCACGCGTGTAACCCGGTTAGACCTGTTCTCTTTGAATAGTTAGGACTGAGCTGCCTTATGCAAATGCTCCCAACCTCATCTTGGTTGTTGTTGTTGCAGACCCAATCAAACGAACAGGAAGTGACCTAAGGAATTTCCCTATTGGCTGCCTGAGTGTTCAGCAAAATGTTTTAAAATTAATATCACATCCATTTATCTTCACTCCTGGGAGTCTTTAGGAGACATAACCTAGTACCTGTGTTTACCCAACCTACTGTTCTCTAGACAGTTTTCCCATTGCCTCAGTTAAGGATTTCCACTCCAGAATCTGCAGCTAAATGAGGTAAGGTGTTTGGGGTACTTTTTTTTTAAACATATACTTCCTTTAAATTAATACCAGTGAAAATAATAAAAAAAAAGATAAGAAGTGTCTACTGGACTCATGCCTACCTTACCGAGCCCCTCCCTTCCAACTTTGGAACAGCAGCTAAGCTCATTTGATCAAAAGGCTTTTTAACGTTACAATAAAGACTTCTGTTTTCCTATTTTGAACTTGTATCTTACTTCTGTTTAAATATTTCTGTTGTGTTTGTTTGATTGGGGCCAGATCTGCTGCCTTTACTTACCCAGAATGTCATAGACTTTGAATTGAGCCAGTGGCTTCGTCAGAATTACTTAAATTTTCCTGAGGATCCTTCTTATTATGTGATATCTAATAATATTGTGGGTCCTAAATCTGCTGCTTTTGTCCACAGAGTGGTCATCTGTTCAGTAAGGCAAGGGGCGAGAAAGTGGACCTTCTCAATACCATCGAGAGTGCTGGTGTCGCAGAACTGGGCGACACTTTACATTGAAAGTGTTTCTGTTGCTTTTAGTGATAAGGATGTTGATGGTGATTGTGCTGATAACAAAAAAACCTAAAGTACATTTATGATTTGGCTCAGTTTTATCCTCAAGGCAATTTCTTGGCAGTTCCTGTGGTGAGGGGGGTTCTGCTGATCTTAGTCCCTTCTAAGCTAAAGCGCCACACAGAACCTAGCTCAAGAACTGGGTAGGTAAATACAGTGTGAGTAGAGGCCTGCAATGTCTTTGCCGGTTTAATTTGTTTCTCTTCCAAAGGTAATTTTATTTGAATAGAACCAGAACTGGTGCTTAAGGTATAGACACAGCTGTTTAAGTAATGGTAGAAGTGAATGTAAAGAAAAAGTTGCTCAAAATCTGTGTTGATTTTGTAATATATGTGTAATGGGCTTAGTGATAAATGTTTGCATTTCACCACATGAGACATTTTAGGCACATGTTTTTGTGTATATGGTTATAAAGTTATTGAATTATATCAGTAATGTGCTTTTGGATTGCCTCATCTAAAAATATCATATGTCACCTTTGCTTCTAAAGTACATCCAACTATCCTTTTTTTCCTATTCTTTAGACAATGAAACCAGTTAATAATGCCAGAAATGAACCTTGAGGTAAAAGTTTTATTTAGTGATTTTATTCGTACTTATGTCACATGGGACTGTGTTAAATATACCTGTCTTGCATCAGTATTTCCTTTAATTTGTGAAAACTTTAGTGGAATAGAAAAATGCACTCCTTTAAGTTTTGTTTTGGTAGCAAATTTGCTGGTAGCAATTTAAACCATTTTTCTGACATCTATTTTGCACCATAGAAAATACCAGAGCTGGAAAATATAGCAGTTTTATATTTAATGCAAATGCAGAAATGAAAGAAAACAGCTGCAATTAAAACTAGAAAAACAAGAGAATTAAGGTGTTTCACCAATCACAATCAATGACATGTTTAATTCCTGGCCCTTAGTTTTCAAAACCAGAAGTGATTGTTGTGATAACAACATAGGACTTCCCAGAATTTTTCAGAGTTTAATTAGGTAACTTGAAGTACAGCTTATCTTCTAGAAAACTTCCCATCTTGAAAAAAGAAGTCCAGAATTTAAACAATGGGAAATTCACCAGAACTTTTTCAAGTGCCCCAGCAATTAAATACCATGCCTTTAAAAATATTTTATCTCATTTTCGGTCTGATGTAGTCTAGCTTCAACATTCAGACACCTGATTTTTTTGTCTTTTGATGGTTAGTGTGAAGTTCCCCTGGGTGGCAAATTTCTGTTCCTTGTGTAGGTAGCTGGGAACAAGTCTTCCTTAGCCTAGTCTTTGATAATTGTGGTAGTCCGAGCTCCATAGGCTATTTCCTGTCACGGAAAATCTTACACTACAGTGAAAAACTTCTAGGACAACAACCTGTTCCACTATAAGCTTTTCCATCCTTTAATCACTTCAATGGTCCCCTCTAATTGTTCGACATCTGCTGTGAAATTTGGATGTCAGGACTGGACACAGGCTGTAGGAACAGCAGTGCCAAACACAAAGGTAATATGAGTCAGTATACCGGGAGTTCAGGGTCAGGGGTTTATAAAGTATGCCCAAGGCTTTCTTAGAGTCATCGTCCTCCAGACCCTCTTCTCACCTTCGAGCATTGGTCCTACATGTGGAGACAATGTTATCATTAGTAGAGTTGATGTTGCTTGCTTGCATTTTTTTTTCATTTTTTTCTAGTCCTAGTGTCATTTGTAAAACCTATAAGGATGGTAAAAATAGTGTATTTTTCCCAAGTCATAGTAGTAAAGGATCTCATATCAGACCAGAATAATGCTTTCTTTGCCTCAGCACAAATTAGGTAGCCCTTCACAGCAATTTATAGGGTGACAACAATACGTATTACCCCAGTTGTGGTGAGATCAGGCAATAGAATGTGGTCTGTTTAACATGGGATATATTGCCCTCTTGTCACCTGAGAGAATACGCTGTGGTATTGCCATAGTAATTTCATATTACTTCAGATATTCTCAGGGTGTTTTGAGTTTTCAGCAGTGGTGAAAATAGACAATAGGACAGTTGGACAAAGACAAAATTAAATCATTTGGCTCCCACTGAACTTCCTTAATTTTTTTTCATTCCCAATGAATTTTATTGTTAACATCAGTACTTGTTCTGTCTGGGAGGTGCAAGGTAACAAATTGCAATGGAGAGAGATCAAACTGGAGCGGAAAAATCATCCAAAGACACAGATGAAGAGAGATTAGGAGGGAAAAGGAGGATTTCTCTATGTGCGTCTGTGTCCAGGCAGGACCGACGTGTTAGCCTGTTGCCTGTCCCACAGCAATTCTCACCAAAAAAACCCTGCGAGGATGAAATTCTACACCTGCTGAAGAAGTGAATATTTATGTACAATTCTCACAGAAGAGGATTAATGATTTTATTGCCTCAGTGAACTCAGAGAACTGTCCATGAGCCATGACACCTTTCCAGAATTGCCGCTTACCTTTCGTCCCTTGTTCACCCCTTACACACTCTTTATAAAAATGTCTAACTTAGCCTCAGGACCAAACCATTCAGTCTTCTCCCAGGCAAACTTTCCACTGACTGCAGTGTAACCTGGATCTATTCTGTGGGGTCTACAGTTATATGCTTTCTATTGCTGTTTACTTGCCTAGATTCAATTCCCACGCAAGTATCTGAGCTCTTTCTGCAATACAATGAATACCATCTCTGTGAACTGGAGCAATGACCTACTGTACGGATAGACAGGTTGGAAAGTGGGTGCTATAGGACAGAACTGTCTGGCTTAAAAATTGGTCAGTGTGCTGAGACCAAGCTACAGATAGTGATGAATGACCCCTTTCTTATTCTGATAGTAATGTGATCACTCTTCATAGGATTTTCTGTGGTCTTGAAGTGCTGTCTTTCTCATCAGCCTTCCTACAGTTGTGAAGTAGGTATTCTTGCTGAGGACTAGGCGTTCCTGTGGCAAGCAGCACATAAAAAGAAAAGGGTCACAAACTTAATTGTCAGTTGTCATTGCTAATGACACATGATGTTAGGATGTGGTAGAACCAAATATAAAGGCTTTGCTGTAGATGAGGAAATGAACAGAAATACTAAGGATTTTTGTAGCTTGCATAGTTTGTGATGTTTAGTGAAGTGAAGTCTCTGCCCAGTCTCACAGCTTAGTTACTATTGAAATTTCAAGCTCATAGAGTTTTCTTCCTAATAATAAGTGCCTTGTGAGCACCAGTGAAGTCCAACACCATCTTCAGGAAAGCATGCTGGCTTCAGCCACTCAGACAGCCTAGTGCTCAAGGGTGCTTCAAGATCTCTAACCACAAATGTCGTCTTCTCTTTCTCCCTGTCCCTGCCTTCAGCACACTCTGGAGCTTACATGTATTTTGGCCTCTGATGAACCAAGGATTTATTTCAGTAAGTTTTCAAGAAAAGGGTACATTGCCAACTTGGTAAGGGTGAAATTCATAAGTAACACTGCTGATAGAAAGGGGAAGCAAAGAAGGGTTTGTTCACACAGCTGGTATAAGGAAAAAGTAAGGATTAATTTGGTTTCTGTGGAAGTAATCAGGAGTCTTTCTTAGTATGAGAGCTGCTTTGAGCTCTACTGGGGATGCAGCTTGCACCAAATCCCTCACTGAATGCCTAAAATACTTGGGACATTTGTTGGTCGTCGGTCTATAGATGCGTGAGAATGAGTAAACATGGAGTCACAGTAGCCAGTGGAGCAATCAACTGGCATTTGGCATTTTGAGTGTCTCCCTCTGAGGAAGAGCCCTCAAAAGCTCCCTTTCCAAAAGCTGATGTTGCACGTGGTTATCGTCACCTATTCCTCTGCTGATCTTGTGAAATGTGCTCCACAGGAAAGAGTATGAGAACTAGTAGACAAAACAGCTAGCTGGGGCTGGATAATCACTGGTTATAGACCAATAAGATGGGGCAATAAAAGAGAATTGCTTTGCAGTGGTGAAAAGAAAGTCATTCTACTTAAAAGATCTGCAAACACGTAGAATAAAAGTTCCTACCTATTATGGAGGAAGGACACAGACATAAACACAAGATATTTCCTCAGCTCACAATCAGATGTAGCCAGAGTAGTCTCCTGAGCCCCTATAAGTCTGTAAGGATTAAGCAACTATGTGTAAAAATATGCTCTATTGTCCAAATTACTAGTGCCATCATCAGAAGAATTGCTTTTGTTTTTTAAAACTGCCCTGGCTTTTCTTTCATCTAGCAGTGAACAGGTAACTAATTTATATTGCCATACAATTAGCGAACCCGTGTAAAACTGCCCAGGATGCTATGGTCAGGAACCAGACTAAGTCTGTGATATAATGATTACCCCCAAACTTTCTTAATGATTTTTACTGAAACATATAATTATTATTACACAACTGTTTAGCAGCTTGCATCTTCAAAGTACGCTTGGTTAAGCAATTGTCTCATAGATTGGCATGGCTACAGGGGGGCTTTATCAGGGAGT